CCTTATCTTCAATAGCAGCAATGATAATTACCCAGCCGAAGGTGTGGCATATTCCGGGGGAATATCAGCAGTTGCTGCTCTCTGTTCTTTTTTGTGCTTTTTCTTGTCTTTTTTATGGAGGAATTTACCAAGCGATGACTGAAAACAAAGCAAAAATCGATAAGAAAATAAATTATCGGGACAAAAAGCTTTTAAAGGCCGTTTACTTCCTAAGCTTACGTTCAAAGCGTAGYAGGTGACTTATCAAGGAAATTGTTAAAATACAAGAGTGCGATTAATATCTCCTTGAGGTTATTTTGTTATCACAATAAGTAGACTGTTATGGCCATGAATATTTGTATATTATTAACGTAAAGCTCGCACCATCTAAATTTGATCACAGAATTAGATATGTAAGGTGTTCTTTTTATATCATTATCTATTCAAAATGACTCAGGATTTATCTCTGCTCCTTTCTGATACTTGAACTAAATGTTCTTCTTTCTCGTAGGGATTGTAGCGCAAAGGAAGGTGATAAAAACACTGTGACATAAATAAATCATTTTCTTCCCATCTGATTATTTATTCTGTCGTATTTAGGTTTTAATGAAGGGCGGTAGTGTTGTCAACGCCAAGTTGCCGCAATACAAACGATGTAGCTTGCTTTTGTACAAAGTTGATTTAGATTTTCCGGTTTCACTATCTACCACACGCGATGATTCTCATTCATTCACAGGAAGCCCATACAAGCTTTGAGAGCTGAATGTAATTTAACAAAAAATAAAAAAATAAAATAAATGAAAACTAATATTTACTCGCATGAAGTGTTTTATACGTCATCCTAGTTCTTTAGTAGCGATTTCGAGCCATTTTAGCGATTTCTAAAAACATTTCCCTTCCTCTCTTCGTTAAATTACATTCAGCTCTAAGAAATCTTTTGCTAAATGGCACTAACGCTTCCCCGAGAGGCCGCGATGACTTAACGTGCAATCCAATGAGTATTCATTTCACTATGGACACACTTGGTCATATGGCTTGGCGCTGTCAATCGTGAGACTTGGGATTATTGATCAAACTTTTCCCGATGCAATCTTAAGAAAGTGTCGGGGTTTGATGGACACGATGAAAAGAGTACAACAATGAATGGGGAAAACAATTCTATCGACAGTCCATCCATATGACCCAAGATTGAATGATATTCTTACCGCACGATCTCTCTGTTTGTCTGGTGGTGTTTCTAACTGTTGCATAGGAAGTTCTCCTCCATAGAATCCAACCAATGCAGCACTGGGTGTGATAATAGAGTTTACAGAAGAATATTGTTTGGAGGTATGGGATTTTTTACGAATCGCACCGGCTGGAGACGATACGTCAGCAGCTTTGTCTATGGATAGAAACACACATACGACAAGTCTGGTAAAAATGACAAAAAAAACTAGTGAAATATAAACAAGCGCTAGTTTTTTCTTCTAGAATTCTACAATAGCTATCTGAAACATTTCTTTTGCGTACGGAAACAGTAGCCCTACCCTCCTTCTTCAATACTTCTGTACGCCGACATAGTAAACCTACCCCTGCCCCCGTTAGTACTATTGTACTCGCACAGAGTAGCCCTACCCCTTCCTCCGTTAGAACTACTGTACGCCGACATAGAGCATATTTCGTACGACTGTGAAAGTCGGTGCCGTATATGGATGTCTTGCGCGACCGCAATGTTTTCTAGAATTTTGATTGGTTTTTTCCCCTCACCCAATGTGGTTGGTCTGGCAGTGCCGTGACATTGGCGTGACCGTATCATAAGGATGTCTATAAAATACAAAAATCTAATGCATTTACCACTCAATGGTGGACAGCCTAACAGGTTTTGCAACCCACTTGATGAGGCAACCGATCGATAGATCGAATTAGAAGTCTGAAGTCGATTTTTGAGAAGGTAGGAAAACCGGAGAACCCAGAGAAAAAACCCTCGACGCACAGGAGAGAACCAACATAACTATAACTACATAACACAAAGCTCGGGAATCAAACCCGGGTGGCAGACTGGTAAGGCGGTGCATTAGCACACATCACCCGCGCGGTATTTTGCTTCATTAGTGCATTAGCACACATCACCCGCGCGGTATCTCATTTCATTAGTGCATTAGCACACATCACCCGCGCGGTATCTTGTTCCATTGGTGCAAAGCCCAGGAACAATGTGACGCAACACAATACAAGATCCCACACCTATACTCCTATAATTACAATAAATATCATTGTTCACTGACAAAATATGGTAATAAATGATACTGGGGGGTTGTCTTGCGTGACACAATGTTACATGACAATATACTGTAATGAAGTTACGTTACACTGTGCAGTTATCGCTATGTTATTGCGAAACATTGCATTTTGCAGTTCTTACTTGAATATGAAATAAATCCTCGGTGCTTAAGATCGTGTGTAAAGTTAGATTGGAATAGGATGGGAAGTCTTTGATGGATGGTCAAGTGCAGTGAAGTGGTGCAATTCACCTTTTTCGCGCTAGCCATCACGTGGTATAAATCGTATTGAATTATGCTACAGTCACCAAAAAGTTCGGACATTGTTCTCGGACTTCCGTCACGAATGTACTTGGTTTGTTTAGTTAACTAAATAAATCAAGTAAATAATTTGTTTAAAAGCCAGTACATTCGTACCGGAATCCGAGAACAATGTCTAAACTTTTTGGTGACCGTAAGACAATTTATACCACGTGATGGCTAGCGCGAAAATGAAAAATTCCAAAAAATACATGCAAATATATTCGTTTTATTTCTATTTTTGATAACGTGTTAGAGGCATGTTATTTAGTGGTGCAATTCTAAGAATACATGCAAATATATTTCACTTTATTTCCAGTGTTGATAACGTGTTAGAGGCATGTTATTTAGTGGTGCAATTCTAAGAATACATGCAAATATATTTCATTTGATTTCCAATGTTGATAACGTGTTAGACGCATGTTATTTACACTTATAACAATATATAGTGCAGCGTTTATTAGTACAATTATATGCGGTATTCATGGTTTTTATGGAATGGATTTTCTAAAGCTGATGCGACGAAGTAATCTTAAGCTCCTTCTTGTTGTATGCTGTCTGGATGCTATCTTGTTTAGTTTGTCTGTTATCACAAATGACATCATAAATACTATATGCAATAAAAACACAAACACCCCCCTCTTCACACCATAGCGATATTCACGGTTAACAAACAACAACGTCAGGAATCTTTTCTAATTCAAATTTGCCGACAAAACAAAAGATCTTTTTGTTTTAGTAGCCAAAATATTTCTGCGGGTTGGTACATTATACCAATAGGTGACACCTCAGCGTAAACTATATAATGTGTGTGTACATGGTTATTGGTGTCACTCCACAAGTATGTCTGCCCCAAGGGTATATGGAATGAGAAAAGACTGGWGATGGATGATGCCTGAATCAGTATATACACTGATTCAGGCATCATCCATCTCCAGTCTTTTCTCATTCCATATACCCTTGGGGCAGACATACTTGTGGAGTGACACCAATAACCATGTACACACACCCAACAACCCACTACAGCAGGAACCATACCCAGTTGGCTCCTAATGGTTTACAGATCCCACCCCAGTACACCTTGCTTGTCACCACCTTACACTTGTTTCTAGTCTTTTAAATAAAGACAATGATTCAAAATAACATGATAATAATTACCAGAAAGAATGTTTTCCAGTAATCCTGAAAAAAATATCACATAAAATGTAAGACATTAGACCATGTTAGTTGGACAACTGGGATCCCAGAGGATAGATTTGAGTTGGTGGCTAAACTAGGGGGTTCAGGGGAATACCCTAGTCCCCCTGCCCCTGAGCCTTGTGGGCATCAATCTAGAGAATATTTTTCTGTCGATAAATATCATATTTTGTTTTATACCTTGAGCTTCAATGGTCAGTGTCTTCTTGGCAACTTGTCTTGGTTTTCGTCCACTGTAGTCACGTGTATTGATGTTGGCATCTGTAAAGATGTGAACACATAAAAATCTACTGATCTGCTATTAAATATCTACTATTCTTTTTTTTTTTCCATCAATTTTATTTATTTCATCATAATTTATAACTATCTACTATTCTTTATAGGGTATAGGTACTTACTAAATTCCTCGATCAAAATCTTGATGACTTTGTCATTGCCATGCATACTTGCAAGATGTAATGGTGTATAACCCTGAGAATATCAACCAAACATGTTAACAAAACCATTGACAGAATTCTGAAACAATCTCTGACCTGATCAAAGTCAGGGCATGGCTAACTCACACATCAAACCCTGAAACAATCTCTGACCTGATCAAAGTCAGGGCATGGCTAACTCACACATCAAACCCTGAAACAATCTCTGACCTGATCAAAATCAGGGCATGGCTAACTCACAGATTGAACCCTGAAACAATCTCTGGCCTGATCAAAGTCAGGGCATGGCTAACTCACAGATTGAACCCTGAAACAATCTCTGACCTGATCAAAGTCAGGGCATGGCTAACTCACAGATTGAACCCTGAAACAATCTCTGACCTGATCAAAGTCAGGGCATGGCTAACTCACAGATAGAATTACTGTAAGTCTATTATATAATGTGTTACATAGAATACTTACCCCCTAAAAGCCAGCCATCCAGTAAATAAACACAACAGCAAGGAGAAAAAGAAAAACAAAAAATGTAGTTAAGACTTAATTTTTCTGAGACTTTCCTTTCATACAGTGATTTTAATATTTTTCAACAAAAAGCAGCCAATAGCATATGGCATATATAAATCTTGAAGAATACTCACATGCTGTCAACCAAAACAGACATCAACATGAACATGAAAGAAAGATAAACAGCTTTGGTTAGTAAAATATGATGATGATCTGAATAAACACATACAGGACATGATTAAACATGACATCCTGTACAACCTGAAGCAGGAATACAATAAGAGCCTGAAATAGCAGATGCAATATTGATGTTTATAAAATAAATACTAGAAATGTCACTATGTGCTAGGCTGTGTACAGCTTATGGGATAATTAGCAGTATATGCTAGAGGCCTTAACAAGCTTCATATATAACCGAGGGTACACAAATATTTTTTCTTTCTTCATTCTTACAGCCCCTCAACCATTTTCCCTATAGGGGAGAGGGGTGGGAAGCAGCTGTAAACAGGCTACCTTTATGGCAGGCACACAGAAAGTTATACATGTTGATTGATATTCGGTCACTAACACTTTTCTGCTCTACCAATCTACTGCATGCCTTATAACTGCAGGCACACAATGCATGCTTGTATTCTTCACTTACTGATTTGGCATTAACATCTGCCCCTTTTGCAGCCAACATAGCAACAATGTCTTCTCTACCATGTTTAGCAGCCCAGTGTAATGCAGTCTGTAAAGTACATAAACCAGTATTTATTATTTCAGGCCTTAAATGATTACTCCATGAATGGATTTATCAAAGTTAATGATGATTATCACTACTATTGCATGTTAAATATACTGTATCTTGGTACTTACATACTATTGCACAGCCATACACCCGGAGACCATACCAGAATATAAAACAAATGAAAATGAAAAAAGTACAATTGATTAGCTTATGTTAGTAGCAGCTACTCTACCATGATATTGAATGCATTTCTGTCTGCCCATATATAAGTCCCTTACGCATCCAATAAGTCATGTGACCCTGTAAGAAACCTTTCAATAATGGAGTTATAAAACCGGTCCAAGGAGAGTTTGAATCCCAGGATTGATGTTTGGTGTCATATATGCTGGTTGCTAAACGGTTCTCTCCTGTGCTTCAATGGTTTTCACCAGATTCACCAGTTTACCTCCCTCTACATAAATCAACTTGAGTTTTTAATTCCAATTGGAACTCAGTAGCAGATGAGAAAAGCCACTGTTATTTCCTATTTATTTTGTATATTTATCTAATACTTGGTATGTACTCACCCCCTGTGTATCCATTATTGATAACAAAATATCCAAGAAAATGGACAAAATAAAAATAGCAAAAAAGTGTCAGTAATTAGGTGTAATTATTTTACTTAAGAAATTATAAATAATATGGTTTTATTTTAATATCTATAAATTGTATTCATGAATAACTGGATGTGCTTTACTTACCGATGTAAAGTCCTGTGATATTAAAAGAAAAAAATTCAATTAATATAAGTGTGCATATTCTACACATGAGCAAGAAACAAAAGAAGAAGGGAAGAAAGAATTGAGAAAGAAAGGAAATTTATAAAGATTCTAAAATAACAAACAACGCTTTGTTAACTGAGGTTTTTACTTTTCTTCAACATGTTTCGGCAGAAAGTGTCGAAGTGTCGAATCATCTACCCCAACTGGAATTACATCCAGCACAAAAATACTTGTACACAGCCCATGTCGAGTGCAAATTTATAAAGGAATAAGCGAAATGAGAATTGAAAAGTGATTTAATGGCAACAGTATAAATTAGTCATATCTTCTTTTTTGGATAATAATGATAATATTAATGATTGATAATAGTAACAATTGTAATTATGGTAAATTAGTAATAAATAATATAAAACTGATGACGATGACGATGATGATGACGAGGATGATGATAATATTAGTCACCTTTTTCTTTGCCAAACTTGAATCTTGTTCCAACAGACACATGATGTTTGCTCTGTTACCTCGTGCAGCCGTTAAGATCCATTCTTTCTCTATTGGTTCTAACTGTTAACGATTACAAAATCAATCATGATTAAACTCTTTAAGAGCTCTGTATGTAGTCTACAAGTGCTTACTTATCTCCATAATCAGGAAATATATTTCTTCTGCTCTGTCTTCAAGACAGCTTGTCTACTAATTACATATACATCAATCTAAGACTTTCTGCCTGAAGATATTATTCAATGATAAGGTACTATAAGAACAGATATAACCATATTAAACGACTTACTTGTATTGTAGGTAGAAGATCATCCCCTAAAAAGTAAAAAAGCATAATTGATTTCTTTAAGCTATATTGGCTAACATGGTCAGATTTTATATTAGGAAGTATAACGTCTAGCCCATCTAACGTCAATATGATATTAAAGCAGCTTGCAGATGATATCAAACACAATGAACAGAAGCTATTTGCACACAGTCAACTTAACACTGACTAATACATAATACTTTTTCTGTAGAAATATTATGCTATACATAATATGTGTACAGTATCTTGATATAAAATCTCACCCTTAAAATAGAATCAGATAACATAGAGATATGAGCATAATATTAAATAAGGTAAGTACACAATACACCAGTCAGAGAGAAAGACAGTATGTCATGGTTAGGTACATGACTTTAACACAATATGCTGGAGTTATAAACAATACATTTACCAATTAAGTCATTTACTCAGTGTTGAGTATTTTAGACCGATATATGAAGATAGTCAATACAATTAATATATAAAATAAGGAGACTTCAAATGACACACACTTGCAGTAGAAGTAAGATGCATATGGCTGACTGTTGACAGATTCAAACACCCAGCAATACAGCTGTGGTCCTTACTATTTCTTTGTTGTTTGGATCTTGCCATAAATAACAAGGCAGTCCATTAGATTGTGTTACAGGTACTGCTGGTCAGACCCTGAACTATTTGACATCTATCACAGCTTGTCTCTCTTCTTCAATGGAATTTCCCATAAATATAATGATTATTCTTTCCTAACATAATTTACGTTTTTCATTTTGAACATTTTTCAGAAAGTAAAAAAGAAATCTTGTACTCCATTCCAAACGTTTTGTCAACAGCTCTTGACAAGGCAGCTGCACAGTAGCAAATCATTAATATTCTATCTATTTGAGTCCTTATTTAAGGCAACAGACAACTAATTCCAATAGGATCTATTTCCCATAAACATTTAGAATAACTTGGTTATTGAGTTCTCCTGATTGGCTGGCTGGAAGCCAAATAGTCACCAACAAAACAAATACCTGCAGAAGCATTACACTAATTATATTTTAAAAAGAAACATTTTTTATGTATTGACAAAAAAATTCAAAATTCTATCAGGAAGCAACTTACTTTAAGAAATGATAAATTCACATGTCTACATTGTGTATGATATAATTGTGATGTATATATTCACATAATATACAATATTATAAAAAGGTTTTAAATATTACCTTATTACAGTTTACACAAATTTGCAGAAAAATAAAACATAAAATTTCAAATTCATTTGTGTTTTAAACATGTTATTAACATGTTATTAATATCACAACTCCTAAAAAAAACAGTGTAAAAAAATTATCCAGCTCTGATTGGTCAATTTATTTTATTTTTTATTGATGGCCATAGTCCAACAATCCTGGTTGACACAAATCCGTCAACAAGGAGAAAATTTGAAGTGAAGTTACCTCTGCCTTGAAGAATCATATAGGGAAATTTCCTGAGATTTCGTTGAATTGAAGCACGAACAAGAAAGATGTATTTGGAGTATTTTCGACTGGATTTGTTAAGAGTGTTATTTTTCAACTTCTTCCTCATGCTATGAAAGACATGATGAAGGTTGATCATGCGACAGATACAGTTGTTCTCTCTAGCTAGTAGGCTTTATTTGTATTTAGCTTAATTTTTTTTCATTTATAATTTTCTAGGAGTCAAGCCAGTAAAAAGAAGAGGAAGCAACAACCTTTCCTGTAAGCATTTGGTAGAAATAAAACCTTTGTGTGACCTTCAAGCTTGGAATATTAATTAGTTTGGGGACAGAACAGTTTTCTTCAAAGGATGCTTACAGACTCCCCCCCCCCTCCCCTTCCTCTCCTCCTCCCCATTACCCTCCCCTCCCCTGAGAGCCAAGTTCACAGGCTAAGGCTAAACCGCAAAACAATATGGAGTTTAATGATAATGATAACAATGGTTAATAATAGTAATTGTAATGATGATAATATTTAACTTATAGATAATAATCATAATACTAATGATGATGATAATAATAATGATGATGATGATTATGAACTGATGATGATGATGATATTGATGGTGATGATGGTGATATTGATGATGATGATGATATTGATGATGATGATGATATTGATGATGATGATGTTGATGGTGATGATGATATTGATGATGATGATGATATTGATGGTGATGATGATATTGATGGTGATGATATTGATGATGATGATGATATTGAT